ATTAATTAATTGATAAAAAAATGATTAAAGGATTAAAGTGGTGAAATTGAATTTTTGAGTCTAAATGATTCATCCATAAACCTGTAAATATTTAAGTTAAATTGTTCAAAATTTTAATTTTGAAAATCTTAATCTCCCTTCTCCAAAAATTGTAAACCGTTAAGGAAAAAATTAAAGTGGTTGGCCGCGGGGAATGGCTTGGGGGCTAGTAGTCACTGTCCCTTCATTATGAGTTTTTTATGTTAAAATTTAGAGACGTGGAATTGGAGATCTCAATTTTGTTTAACGAAGGGAGAAAAAAAAAGTGGTGGGCTGCGAGTGACCTTCCAGGAAGCGACACTCGGGGGGGAAAGTGGAAAATTTGGTATTGGTCCATGGCATCGCCTCTTCACGACGTTGTGTTTATGTGGACTACTGACTTTAGGTGAAGACTTATCCATAGGAAAAAGAAATACCAATACTTTATGTCATGTTTATGTAATCATGTCTTTTCCAACAAAATGTCCAGAGCCAATGAATCCGTATCTGCCAAGTAAGTAAGGTTTCCTCTTTTGTCCTTTTTCCCACTATTGTGTTCCCCCTCGCCACCTGCGACCTGCCGATTCCTCGCCGCTTCAAAATTTCAGAAAAAAAAATTCAATTTTTTTTCTTTAGTTAAATCTTTAATTAGATTTTTTAATTATTATATAAATATTTAATTTAATTCTTAAATTAAAAAATTTTTATTTGATCTTTATTATTCATCAATTTGACCTCAAGTTAGTTATTTTGTTAAAAAACAATTGTTAAATCCATTAATTAATAACAAAAAAATTATTATTTAAGTATCATATATCACATTAATAATGAGATACGTAACTTATTTTTATATAAAAAAACAAACTTCAAACTAAATTAATAAATAATAAAAACAAAATTTTGAATTTTTTTAGTTTAAGAATAAAGTTAAGGGTTTGTACATTAATTAAGAGTTTAACCTTTTTCTTTTTGTACAACATATTAAAAATCATATATTATTACTTTAAATTTTTTTACTAATTTATATTTTTAGAATATAAATTTAAAAAGTAATTAATATATTTTTATTTAAAAAATTAACGATAAATTTTTAAATCATTAAATTATAGAAAAAAATTTTAAAATAATATTGATTTTAATATCAATATTACATATATTTGTTTTATTTTATAAGTTAAAAAATCCTTAACTTTAAAAACAAACTAGTATTTTGTAATATAAAGTTTGGAATTATTTTAAAAATAATAAAACACTAAATATAAAATCAAATTCTTGATTACAAAAGTGTTTATAACTTTGATTGAGAGTGCTTAAGGTTTGAATTTATAAATAAGTAGTTTGGACTTTGGATACAAAATTAAACAACAAAGTTGTAACTTATAATATCATATAAAATTATAAATTAATAATTATAATATATCAATAAATAAATATAATATAAGAATTTTTAAATCTATGTTTTTAAGATACATGTTAAGTTTTATTAAATACAATATTTTCAATTAATTATGTATAAATTTTTCTATCAAATTTAATAAAAATAAATAAAAAAATGTAAAATTAAAATAAAATATAATATTTAAACTTAAAATTTATTAAAAAATAAATTTAATATAAAAATTTATTATAAGTTTTATAATTAATAAAATTTAATCTATACCATAAATTAGATAAATTCATAATTAAATTATCGTATATGCAACGTGAATTTTAAAATTGGAACATGAAATTAAAAAAAAAAAAAAAAAAGAGCAAAAACTCGGCGATTGCAAGACGATGCGGACAAGTGAATGAAACAGGAGTAGACAAAACTGTTTTGCTGCTGTAAGAACCAGTGACGTCATTCATATCAACTTAATTATCACGTGTCCAAAATTCCCCCACCACCCTCTGTCTTCCTCACCACCGAGACGAAGTTTCAAAGAAAATCGAATTTGCAAATAAATTAAAATTCCCAAAATATCCACCACCCCTTTTCCAGATTCATGCACCTCTCTCCCTATATAACCCTTTCTTCTCCGTCTTGCAAACATTCAGCATCTCTGAATTCTCTCTTTAGTTTCTGAATCCCAGAAACAAAAACACTCACAACCAAAATTTGATTTTGGAAGTTGGGATTTTGAGTATTTTGGGGTATGGAAATGTATGGGCAGAGCACGACGGAGTCCGATTTGGCGTTGCTGGAGTCGATTCGTCTGCACTTGTTGGGGGAATCGGAGTGTTGGATGGCGACGAATTCGGTTTCTGCTAATGGAGATTGGCCGGTTTACTGTCGGAGTTCGAGCTTTGGTAGCTTGGACTCTTGCCTGACGGAGAGTTGGGGCCAACTACCGCTCAAAGAGAACGACTCTGAAGATATGCTCGTCTTCGGTTTACTCCGTGATGCGGTGACTGTTGGGTGGGCCCCGTCGGACAGTGACGCGATGCCTAATTACTCGGTGGTTAAGCCGGAACCTCAGGAAATTTTGCCGGAGGTGGCGCCGGTATTGCCTGCGCCGAAGGCGGTTCCGGTTAAGGGAAAGCATTACAGGGGAGTGAGGCAGAGACCGTGGGGGAAGTTCGCGGCGGAAATTAGGGATCCGGCGAAGAACGGAGCTCGGGTTTGGTTGGGTACGTTCGAGACGGCTGAGGACGCGGCGCTGGCTTACGACAGAGCGGCTTATAGGATGCGAGGGTCTAGGGCGCTGTTGAATTTCCCGTTGAGGGTGAATTCAGGGGAGCCCGATCCGGTAAGAATCACATCGAAGAGGGCATCGCCGGAGCCATCCCCATCGTCGTCATCTGGATCGCCGAAGCGGAGGAAGAAGGCCGGCGGATCGACTCCCGTGGCAGCTCAAACCGGGTTGGAAATGGGTAAAGGAGCGGAGGTTAAGTATGAGGTGGGGCATTGTACACGTGTCGAACAGCTATTAGTCACCTAGTGCTGACCAGGGACACACGTAAGCAAATTGAATTTGGAAACTTCAGAAGGGATTAATGTGTATAGCTCACTAAAGTCTATGGGGGCAAATCCATAATTTTGGCAGAGCAGAAATGAAGACAAATAAATAAATAAATAAATAAATAAAGAGAGAGAGAGAGAGAGGGAGGGAGAGGTTCGTATTAAGAAACTGTTTGGTTTTGTGAATACAAAATTTGTTATTTATTGAGTGAACAGTTTTGCTTTAATAAAGGGTTATTTTTATGGTTTAAATTATATTAAATTGTGAAATATAAATTTTAAATATGAGATGAATTTTTTAATATTGAAATTCTCTTATCATTTAAGAATTATTTTTTTACAATTTAATACAATTTAAATTATAAAAATAATAAACTCTTATTTTAAGTGAAAAAATTCTTCACGCCTAGTTAACTTTTTATTTAACTCCAAGAAATGAGTCATGCTAGATCAATTTTGCATGTGAGTCTTTCATAGATTATATTTTCAGTCCAATGATGGTACTAATTATTATAACTGTTTGATTTAAAAATCTTGACAGTTGAATATGTGTAAGTAAATTCTAACTCCACAAAAATATAATAAAATAATGTTGAAACTCTTCCGACTTTCTTGACATTTCAACATCTTTTAAAAGGCACGAGGAGTTGGTGGCATTTCAACATTGAATCATTATAGCAACAGTTACGTGATGCATGTTTACTTTTGATAGAGGATAGGAGTATATTTGCTTCCTAACTCTATCGAGGAGAGTTTAACATCAAAAACTTAATTGGTTTGAAGAAATTGAATGAACATAGGTAGTCAACTGTGTTATGCACCTACGACCATTTTGAAATCGCAATAACTTTGTAGTTGAGTGAGCCTGGGTGTTTCTGGATCATGCGTTGTATGAACTTGACGGCCTCCTGTTGGGAAATACAAAATGAAATGATGTCAAATACCCTGATCAAATTGGAGTTAGATGCCAAAATTAGTTATAAGCATGCACACGTGGCTAGCAGAGCTACATTACAATCATGTTAACACTCTTGTTGACAACGAAACCAACCCAAGAAAGCTCAGTTAGCACATTGGAATATCCTTTATTCAAGTTGCAACACACAAAGACAACATGGACACCACCCATGAGATCACTGGTACAGACACAGGGAGAGTTGAAGGTGGATTTTCAGCCCTCTATCTGCAACCATATCTTATTCTATGCATTTCCACCCCTAAAACAAGAAAAAGGATAAAAGAGAACACATCCTTCCCTCATAAGTCCTTTTTAATTTCTTTCCTTTTTCCTGTCATCTTCTTTCACATCTTAATATGTCCGAAGAAAATCTTAAGGCAAAATAATCCTGCTCTAAATCAAACGCAAACCTGCAATAAGCTGTCTGGCGAGGAAGCACCATGTGGTATTGGTCCTGACTTCCTTCCATCAAGCTCATAAAGTTTCCCTGCATGGTACACAATTGAGAAGAAATATTAAATTCAAGGCTATAGCACCAAAAACAACTGCATCTCAGAATCTTCTAAGAAATCTCCAATCACTATTAAAATTCTCTTGCTTGTCTTTATTTTCATGATTGCTTCTTTATGTTATGGACAAGAGAGAAATAGGGTGGGGAATGGAAAGAATATTTATCATTCACACATGTGAAGCAGATAATGTGAGTATCCACATTGTCTGAAGCCTGTTAAGAAAAATTCTTAAGAGATGAGTAAAAAATACAAAACTAGATTGAACAACAAAATAAGAAAACAAGAGAAGGAAGGAAGATTGCTCTTTTCTTGGCAAACTAAATTCATTTAAGACCTAGCTCAGGTTCCTAACTCATTATGGCATAGACTCATTGATAAACTTGCTTACCCTTCCTATATCACTACTCTTTGATCTGTGTCCTAACCTATCTTCAGAAGATTCCACTAACTGATTTTTCCAGAAAGAGAACTAGAATTTAAAAATTCATTAGTTACTTCTGTTTCACCAGCTGTAGCTGCTACAGAATGAGAAACTTTGATTTCTCTGTCATTTTCAAGATATACTCCACGCTTCATGACATAGAGCAATGGGGGAACTATATTAGTATATTATCAATTGATCAAGCTCACAATACAAATGCATTGAGAGAGGGAAGGGACAGAGAACCTCAAATGGATTCATGCTTGCAGTGGTTTTTAAAAATCTATCCAAGAATGATTCTTCAGCTGAAAAGAAGGTATAAAAGCTTACCCTTTAGAAGACGTGCTATTATCCAATAAAATTTGAAGATGAAAAAAACTATTGGGTTCACCATCCATAGTAACCATGATTCTAGAAAATGTAAATATCTCATACTGTACTCTAGAAAATTGTCATGAAGTTTTCTTCTTCTGAATAAGTTGACAGATGAAGGAAAAGGGAGGAAATCAAAGACCTGCTATAAGTCTGTCAATACTACATACAACATCTTAGCACTCTATTTCCCCAATAGAAAAACCAAATGAAATCTTGACCGTTCTTCACCATTGAGGAGAAGCACATCATCAATACCCATAAAATTAAGCATGACAGATCCATCAAAAGAGAATTTGGACACAACTTACATAGACTGATTTCTGAAGTCATATTTGCAACAGCATGGAGAAGCCCGATTGTTGCACAAGCATTTTCAACGGTTTGTGTTATGAAAAAAAACTTTGTTGGCAGCTTCCTACAACCCAAAATAGCATTAAGAAATCTCAGCCATGGTACATAAATTCAAAAGCAAGATAAGACTTTCAAGAACTAATTACCAACATTTCAATGATATTTCTCACCATAGGATGGTATCAACACATTAGACTAGGTTACAATAATTTTATGCTCTAACAATTTCCAATCAATTGGCCAATAATATCCATGCAAACACAAACATCTAGAACTAAATAGACAGTGATAATTATGCCCTTGTACTCACCCAAAACTCATTTTCCTCGAGCATTCTTTCCTCTTCGGTCTGAGTATTGCTCTCATATTTGATTGATTGAAATCTTGAAATTAGTTTGGAGTACGAGTAGTGGAATTTTGAATAGCTAACTAGCCTATCTTCTAATCAATGTTTGTTTGTTTGATTGTCCGTTAAATTTTGCCTTTTCCTCTGAGTGATTTGCTGCTTTCCAACTCCATGAGAGAAGTCCTTTGCCTTAAACAGTTATTAACCCGTGAGGATATGGAGTTGAGGCTTTTACTTTGATTAATTCTCAAGGCTATATATGTTGTGGTTTGTGGTATGAAGGTTATGCTTAGTTCACACACATACACTTCTGGAAGTTATAATTGAAGTAATCTTGATAGCGACTGTGATCTTTTTCTAAATGCCTAGGTAGTCTTGCTAGATATCCTTTTGAGCTAATCAGCATGCTTTCTTTCTTAATTCACGCTTGAATTGCTAGAGACTAGCAATAAGCTGGTTGGGGGTTGTGAGGAAAGCATGAAAATGTATATCTAAAGTGTGCTTAACCATGGACATTTGTGAAATTATTTGTTTAAGAGTTTTATTTTTCTACCCATAATTTCACAAATGTCCATGGTTAAGCACACTTTAGATATACATTTTCATGCTTTCCTCACAACCCCCAACCAGCTTATTGCTAGTCTCTAGCAATTCAAGCGTGAATTAAGAAAGAAAGCATGCTGATTAGCTCAAAAGGATATCTAGCAAGACTACCTAGGCATTTAGAAAAAGATCACAGTCGCTATCAAGATTACTTCAATTATAACTTCTAGAAGTGTATGTGTGTGAACTAAGCATAACCTTCGGCAAAAAAACAGAATTAAGCCTTTAAACATATCAGCAGAAATGCAAACCAACTCCAAAGAAAAAAGAACAAACCTGAAAAGTTATTGGATAAAGAAACAGCAAGTACAGGCCGCCAGACCGATGCCAAGTACTTCTCATCCAGACCTAAAACCTCAAAACACCATGCCTCGCGCTCTGGAAGACCATGATCCGAAGAAACTGCAAATAGATACATCATCAGGCACAAGTTGATACAAAACAGTTTTCAATGATTTCCATTTTTCAAATATTAAGAAATCCCTAATATTTAACACAGATCTTCTAAACTCACAGAATTCCAAACACCACCTTAAGACCCTAACTCCCGAATCCGAATTGGTTTCCTGGAAACGATTAAAACTCGTCCGCATACTTTTTCTTTTTTCTGAGTAACCAAACACTGACAAGAAATAAAAGAAAGGAAAGAAACCAAAACCTTGTTCAAGACATCAGGATTGGCTTCGAGAGGAAGCCACTTCCTCACGGAAACACTTTCGTCGGGAGTCGTCATTTTCTTCTCTGAGATCTCGTTCTGCTTTTCCGCTGAAACTGAGAAGGTACGGTAATGTCTATACACATATATAGCTTTGGGTCTTTTTCCCTGGGCCTAATCTCCATCTAACAATTTGTTGCATTCACACAATTTTACATTTGGGGTTGATGAGATCTTTTTACTCACCTTGTGATCTGATTTTTAAGAATGTTGATTCATATATATTTGGTGTTGTGACACTATTAAATTCCACACACCATTCAAATCGATAATGATTTAGACACGTAGTGATAATCTCCTCCAAAAATAAAGATCTCGAAATAAAAAGTAAAGATTTCTGAAATCAAATGAATTTTGCAAACGGTTTAAATAATTCAATAATAATTTTTTAAATTCATTTGCTAATTCTAGCGTAAACGCTAGAATTTGGCAAGTACAGGTAAGGAAAGCTCTGGCTCTGGGTAACCAAATTGGTAAGAGCGAGAAAATCCAGCTGTCTACAAAATTTCGGGTTTGTGGGCAATACACCAACACAAATTGAAAATGTGTTTGGAAAAGAGATGAAGTATGTATCTCATTGCTTACGAACACTAGGAGGAGAAGGGACAAAAGATCACGAACCCATTCTCATTCTATTCTTCAGCTAATAATGAATGCCTGCTTATTTCACCAGCAATATCGAGCCTTTTCTTTTTGGTTAGTTTCCTCCTATCAAGTCTAATAAACTTAAAAGAACACAGACAAAATGCAACTAATGTGTCCTAAGAGACGTCTCAATAGTAACGTCTCAATAGTTAAGAACTTGAATTTTCATGTTGAATATCTCAAGTTCATATCTTAGAATGGGTAGGAAGGGATTTGAGAATGGAAAGACAATCCCTTATTGTTTGATCCATTATCTAAATAAAAGGAAAAAGAAAAAGAAAAAGCATCTAACTTATCAGGTTTTCTTTTAGTGTCTGTATCCCTCTTCCTTCAGTTGCAGACTATATTTTGATCCTAAGAAAACAAAAAAACCTAACACTGTTCACACTAATAAACACTGCAGTCCTAAGGAAACTATTAATTCAATTGATTGATAACCAACAAAGAAAACAGCTTATTCTGCCACACTATGATATTCATAATACGCATCATTCATGGTAAAACTAGTCCAATCATGAATATTATTAGAATACTATGAAAGGAAAACGGAAATGATCAACAGCATTGCCACAGGTAGGCAGACTATTTCCCATTAGTCTGGATCCAGACACCAAAGAGCTTCATCCCTGCATTTGGGTTCTCCCCTGCACCCATTCTATGCTGTGCATTCTTACCTTCAATCTCCATTTCTGCATCACGATGTCGTATATCAATCATGTGAAACACTCTGTTTTGTCCCTCCTCTTCAACCTCACATCTGTAGAAGATGACAATGTCTCTGGAATTCAAGTTATTCATTTTGACAAAGTGTCTCCAACCTCTTGTAAACACATAGCTCTGGATACTGCTCCAATATGAATACTGAAAAGTCCATGAACAGCGGTGCTTATCATAGAAGGTAAGTTCGGCAACATTGCTTTCAAGTTCACCTCCATTTGAACTGCTTCCAATCAAAGGTGAAAAGTACTTCAATGCATATTCCTTGTGGATGAGAAGCCCCTTCTTAGAAGAGAGATCTGTCTGTGTCAACTCCTTCAGAAAGAGCATCTGATAGGAGATCTCCCCCTTCAGGGAATTGCTTCCTGTTGTCAAACATTGATGATAAAGGAAGCTCACAAGGTTAGATGAGTATGTTTTATCCTTCAGCATACATAAAACCTCCTCTTTTGAGTAACAACTCTGAAAAATGTTCTCCTGAGCTGTGTAATTTTTCAAAGAGAAGTTGAGGGAAGCATCACTTCTCTGCAACTTGATGGCTGCCCTATCATAAGCCATAGCTGCCTCCTCTTCCTTTTCATATGTTCCAAGCCAGTATGGCTTGCACCTGAGAGAGATCCTTGCACCCCATTTACCATTTTCTAGTGGTTGTATCCCTTTGAATCTTGAGGAGGACCCTCTGCTCCCATTGCCACCATCGTCATTCTGCTGACACGGGATGTTGTTTTCTGGATTTGAACTTCTTATAGTGCCTTCTTCAGAACCTGACCTCCTTTCCATCTCCATAGACTTGTTTGAAAATTAAAATGGAAAAACAACTAACAGATCAGGATTGGTCATGACCAAGAAAAGAATTGAGTTACCCTGTGTTTATAGGCTGAAATCACTTGCCGGCTAAGAAACTAAGGTTTGATATGGAAAGCAGTATCCGAAAATTTCATCGTCATCCAGAAGTTCATTTTTGGAAGTTACAAGTGAATTTCCTATCATGACCTCAAAGATGAATGAAAATGGAAAATTAAAGTCTAAATTTTCAATAACTTCACACCAGAGAAGAATTAGACAGAGACTTCCCAAGGAAAATCAGAAAGCATAAAAATAGTTCTCACAGGCTTGTCACTAATTTGTCCTTGACATTTCCAGGATGAACAATCTAAAGTGAGGGCCCAGAATATCATAACGATCTTCAATGTAATATAAACCAATTATTTCAAGTATTGTTAGCAAAATTTTGGCCCAGCCAATGAAAGATAAAGTCGCTACTTTATCACTTATGGCTTTCAATTCTTAAAGCCAAAGATGGTGCTAACACCACAGATATGACATTTTTATGTACCAAAAAAGCTGAAAGGTTTCTCATTGATAAAATCAAATAAGACCTTACCAGCATAATGAGATGAAAACAGCAGAATCCAGTTACTTTTTGTTCTCATCTCCATCTGCTGGCAACAGGTCTATACCAAAAGGTTCTAGGATTGCATCTCTTCCAAATTTGGTAACAAAATTGGTCAAATGTGCAAATTGCCCCCTAAAACTGTCGTGTTGAAGCAAATCACCACCCAAAAAAAATGTTGACACAATTTGCCACCCCAAATTTCCATTTTCAAGAAATTGGCCCAAATTTAACGGTTGCCATTAAACTCTATTAAATTATTGCTCTTGAAATCTAATGAAAAGTTAGCAGTAACTATTAAATTTGGGTTGATTTCTTGAAAATGGAAATTTGGGGTGGCAAATTGCATCAACAATTTTGTCAGGTGGCAATTGGCTTCAACGCAATAATTTTGGGGGGCAATTTGCACCTTTTGTCTAACAAAATTGCATTTTTTTAATATCCCAAATAATAAATATTAAAATTTCCTTTGTTTTCTTTTTCTACTTCTACCTTAGTGACATATTTGCAGAAAAAGATAAGATGTTGACCAAATTAAACAAAGAATACAAATTAAACTGATAAATTCCATAAAGATATGGTTGATAATAACGCAGATAGAATCAATAAAAAATTTGTGAGTAGCTCTTAACAAAGTAAAGTAATAATGCTTCTTAACTATAGCAAAGTTATATTTTCATGTCAGTAATGGACCTAAGCCAGTTAACTTGAGAGGTTTAGATATCAAAACAAACCTCTAAGATTCCACCATTCAACGGAATTCCCTGATGTACTGTTCAGTTATCCACCCTTTGTTTTATCAGCAATTTCTCTTGCTGCTGCTGGATTTTCCATCAGAAATGTAAAGAACTAAGATACTTATGACATTTCCTTTCCAATTTCTACAAGGATATTACTTTCAACACTCTTCCAGTAATGTGCACAGTTAATTTACTTCTAACAATATCAAAGGTCGTATAACAAGAGTTTTTATAGCTTCAAGATGCTCTTATACCTTCTCCTGTTCATGCATGTTAACTATTCCAGGGGTATTTAGTATACGTTTATTTTCCTTCTTTTCTTTTAAAGAGTGGTTGAGAACTCTATCCAGCATCCATAGCATCTGGTTTTCACTTATGGTATGTTCCTATGCGTGCAAAAATTTGAATCAACGGCAGAGATAGAATTTTATAGGGTGTTTCAAATTATACATGGCTTAAACAGAGTCAACCAACCCAAGAGAGGCATCCTGAATGTAAATTATTTTATCATTTATAAAATCATAAAAGGTTCTCATAACACAGATATCTCTGGGACACAAACAGTTAAACAAGAGCAAACAAACTAATGCTTGATAAACTTAGTCTGAAAGCATGTTATTGCTAAAGATTCTGATCATTTTTATTCGCCAGTATACCTTGGCTTCCGCTTCTCTGCAAATGCTGCTAAGCCTTCCAAGCGATCTTTCGTATTTAAAATCTGTGCATAGCAGTCCCCCTCCAATTCCAGAGCTGATTCCTTATCCATCTCCAGTCCCTCATTTATAGCCCTCTTTGCCATTCTGATTGCTATTGGACCCTGTTAAGATATACGAAAATTTAACATCATGTCCAATGACAGATTGTTCTTTTATCAATAAAATAACTTATTTTTGGGATATTAATATAATTCATTATATGTGGCACTAATGGATGAACTTAGCATCTTCTCTGTAGAGCAAGTGTTACCAGTTACATCAGAATCTGACACCATGTAAGAAAATTGTGGCAAAATGAATTTTACCTTCTCATTTATTTCCCGAGCAATTCCAATAGCCTTGGCATGGGCTTCCCCAGCAGGAACACAACAATTAGCAAGACCTGCAAGCAATCACAAACCTTGTTCAATATAAAGAAAGGAGGTGGAGTGAGAAAAGCAAATAAGGTTTTGTCATTATGCATACCGATAGACACTGCATCTCTGCCACTAATTCTCCGAGCAGTAAAGATAAGTTCCTTTGCTACTGATTTTCCAACCAATCTAGGAAGTCTTTGTGTCCCACCTGCCCTATTAAAAGTACAGTTCTAGTTGTCACTCTTCAAGTAATCATCAAGAAGAAAAGACAAGGGGGGCAGAAAGTCAAGCACAGGAAAGCCTATCCTGTATTGGCAAATTTTTAAAGAACCACATCTAATCTAATTAAGATTGCGGGTACAAGTACATATATAAAATTGTTCTTGTTAATAAGAAAGGATATGGCTAACAAAGTATGAGACAAAACTCAGTACATACCCAGGAATTATGGCAAGTCCTGTTTCAGGCAAGCCTAATATGGCATCTTCACCTATAAGTAATTTGACAGAAGAAGTTATTAAAAATATTTTGAAGACAGAAAGCTAGACACTTTATATGCAAACATACTAAATCACTAAAAAATAAAAATAAAACTACCACAAACTCGAAGATCACATGATAGAGCCATTTCAAGTCCTCCACCCAATGCAGCACCTTCAATAACGGCAATGGTAGGAATTTGGAGTGCCTGAATAAAAATAAAAATATAAACAAATAGTCCATTTATGTCCTCAAGTGAGAGGTCATGGTGAATCCACCCAACAAATGTAGCATATAAAATTAGAAAATGGTAAGAACAACATTAACTTTAAGATGTATTTTAAATTGAAAGCATAGGGCAACTGATTGGAGAATGGTTAAAATACAGGCTGTCTTGCAAGCAAAACTTTGTGCAACAAGGCCAAATGACAGGACCCTATTTATATGTCACATTATAATTGAGGTTGGTTGAACTCAAGTTATTTGATATCACAAACAGGTTTACACAATCAACATACTTGATAAAAAGGAATAATATTCCACAATGATAACCTCTATGAAGGAGAAAGTTGATCGCAGGCACTGGACATAAAACTGAACCTCGGATGCAGTCATCTTCTTGCGCTCCTGCCAACAATCAAAGGGCAGAACTGTCAAGCAGTTCAAGCCTCTGAGAGAAATAGAAGCATTGCAAACAAGATCAAGCACAAATTTGACACCAAAAAAACCTAAAATGCAGTTCCAAATTGGAGGATTAACCAAAATTCAGATCAATACTGCAAAAATCAGTAAAATCACCACAAGGAGATAGTCTCCTCTTTTGACTCTTACTTTTAATCAAACTGAATCATTATGAATTATGCAGTACCTTCAAATCGGCACCAGCACAGAACACCTTGGGCACTGAACTGCAGATCATGACAACCTTAGCAGAGGAATCCTTATCGATAGCTTCGAAAGTATGCTGCAAGCCTCTCAACATATCACTCCCAATTGCATTTTTTGCCACAGGCCTATCCAAGTTAACCTCAACGATTCCTGTTAGTAAAACTCAACTCTAAGCTCTCAGCTATTCAAAATCACACATTATACATCAAAAACTAACCATCGAACGCATATACTTCAAAAAAATTCAAAATAGCAGAGAAGCAGTACAAACTGCGCCTATTCAATTTCCATGCCACTAAGCTGCCATTCGTTACTTACTATAAATCAAACCTAGGAACCAATTCACTATAAACATCTCCAAGCCTAGTGTACCCAAAAAAAAAAAAAAAAAGAATTTACATTAAATTCAAGCAGCTCAAACAGTTGAACTCCGAAATTTAGACGTTCGTTAGATTACACAAACAAACATAGGTACATAGTATTGAAGAGTTGGTTACCAGAATCGGAGTCAGGTAACCGGCGCAGCTTGACGGATTCGGAGGAGGCAGATTCCAAAATCAGTGTTCTGAGAGTTTGATGCAGCAAGTGATTACGCGGTAAACTTTGTCCGTACTTGGATCTTTGCAGGCATTGATTCCCCAGCGATCTGCTTAGAGCTGTTAACATAGCCATTACGGAATTTCAGTGTGTTTGGAGCTAAGGTGAAGGAGAAAGGGAAAAGCTCTGAATCCATTATTATTATTATTATTATTATTATTATTTTATGGATAGAGATGTTATATTTGGAAGATATTAAAAAAATAAAAAATAATATTATTTAAATGTCAAAATATTATGAAATTATTTAAATATTATCTTAGTGAGTTTTCTTATGTATGAATATATTAAAAAT